AGCATTTTTTTAAAAAAATGGTTTCATTCTAGGTTTACATTTTGAGTGTCAGTACCACCTGGCCAGTCTTTCAAGGTGTGTGTCACATTTTTTCTCTCTCTTTAAATTGATGTGAAATTGTATACACTTAAATGAGTAGAGTTCAGTAGAATTTGCATACCCATGTGATCCACACCCTGATCAAGAGATAGAACATGTCTACCTTCCCAGAAAACTCCCTTTTGGGGCATTTAAAATTTGGTTAAATAATATGGTTATAGAGTCCTGACTCAATAAAAAATGAGTTGTCTTCCCTCTCCTTTTTCTGACTTTATTTTTGCTTCCTAATCATGCGGTAATGGTTACTTTAAACATGAAACAAATTGTCACCAGAAGAAACTGTTGCCTTTCAACTAGTTATGATTGAGTGGTTACTAATATAGTACGTCCCTGCTCAACTTAGTACGGCTTTTTGGTCTTTAAAGTGAGTAGTAAAATTTGAGTCATATCCCCATCACTGACTGACTCACAAGCTTACTAAGGATTGCCTGGTGTTTATTATTAGGCCGAAGCTTTAGAATCATGATCAATTGAAAAAGATTGTGATCATGCCAAATTTACATTACACCCCCCCCCCCTTTTTTCTTTTAGCCTGATCATGTCATTCTTTAGCAGATTTTTCAGATAAAAGGAGCCGAGTGTTAAAACTATATACATCTGAGTCCTAGCCTTGAGGACTTCCTTCCATCTCAAAATTCTCAACTCCAGTTGCCAAAGAGCAGTTAGAACATAGACTTAAGTTACAGCACCATTAGTTGTGAAATGGATTGAATTCAAGAGCTGTGTGTCACTGTCTTTAAAGATTCTTGAGTGCAGAGATGGGAAGACTTGTTCTAAAGAGACTGTTAGTTAATGACTGGGGTTTACTGAGGGACAGGGAAAGGAGATAATTCACCAGGGATTGAAAAGGGGATTAACTCCTTATTTCCCCCTGTGGATTTAGTGTTCTGATTAGGAACACGAACTGGAACCAGATCTTGAATTAACTATTATTTTTCCTGAGAAGAACAATGTGTTCTGCTAAGCACAGCCTCTGCTGCCAAAGCAATGGTGTGGTGGTTGAGTGGCTTCGGTATTTCTTGCAATAACACCTAATATTTTATTACCAGTTGGACTTCCCCCCCTCCTCCCCCACATTCAATTTTCGAAAGAATGGCAACCAAGTGAAGGTGTATGGAAGGATGAGCCAGATTTGGTTAGCAGAGAGAGAGACTTGTCAATACCCATTTGCAATTGGAAAGTCCTACTCTGATTACATATTCATATTACTTATTTTTAAAAAGAAGTTTCATGCATTAAGCACAGGAAAATTTAAATGGTGTTCCTTTGTATGCATGCTGAGGACAACTTTTCCTCCATTTCCTCCTCTGTCCTCTTCCTGGTGACCCTTTCCAGGAGCAGCAAACCACTGTAGACCCTGCGCTGTGCTCTCTCCTCTGTAAGAATCTGACCTGATGTTGCAGGCACTTCCTGTAGACATCCTGAGTGCCAGGACTGTGCTAAACTCCTGTGCATATCTCTTCACTAACTCCTCTCACAAGCCTATAAGTCATCTCTGATTTGGTAGAGTGATGTTATATTGTGACTTCCCCAAGCTCAGAGAACTATGGGATGATTGGAGGCTAGAATCCAGCTCCTAACCAATATCCCATCTCAGTGCATTGCTTTCTGCTCCCATTGTATTTGTAATTGTTTGCATCCATGCCTGATTTTCCCTTTAGACAAGAAGAACTTGAAGTCAGGAACTCAGAACAGAGCTTTAGAAAATGCTAATTCTTAGTTAATCTTATTCATTCATAAATATTAGTTGAGCAGCTGCTATGTGTCCAGAATTGTTGTAGGCCAGTGATTTTCAGCCATTGTGCTGAAAGAATTTTTCAAACATGCAATACCTGACTATTTAGTCAGGGATACTGATCTCTTTTCCCTTAGATCAGCAGTTCTCAACCTGTGGGTCGCAACCCCTTTGGGGTCGAACGACCCTTTCGCAGGGGTCACCTAAAACCATCGGAAAACACATATAATTACATATTGTTTTTGTGATTAATCACTATTCTTTAATTATGTTCAATTTGTAACAATGAAATTGGGGGTCACCACAACATGAGGAACTGTATTAAAGGGTTGAGGCATTAGGAAGGTTGAGAACCACTGCCTTAGATTGTCAAATAAAAAAAAAAAAAAATGACAACCAACAGAACAATATCTTTCTGGTGTAAACGAATCAAAATTATGCCTATCTTTTTTGGTAGATAGGCCAAAAATATATATCTTTTTTTGGTGTGCCACAGAATTTTAGTAGTTTATGTGTGCCATGAGATGAAAAAAGAAAAAAGTTGAAAGTAGTTATTCTAGGCATTTAGAAATACAGCAGCAAACCAAACAAAAATCCTTCCCCTTGGAGAGGAAAGTAAACAAGTCAGTGAAATGTATGATATATGAGATGGTGGTAGTGCTCAGGGACAGGGCGGCCGTGCTGGTGCTGTGGATGCTGTGGGAGACCTTGGGACACCCCTATTGGGGTGGAAGCAAGAGGAAGGTTGCTATCTTAAGTAAAATAGTCAGGGAGGTGATATTTGAGCAGAAACTTGAAGGAGACCAGAGAAACAGCCTAGGAGATATCTGGGAAAAGAACATTCCATTCAACAGATTGAGTGAATTCCAAAATCCTGCCAGGCTCATTCCTCCCCAAATACATAATTGTAATTTGGTATTGTTGGATGCTGTTTTAGTAATGTCAAACATCTGGTTTAGGACAGGTGTTTCCTGACCACTTTTTACTTCGTTTGTTGGTCATTGTATGCTATAGGAATCAGCACAACTTTGATAATTGGAATACCCGGTTGGATTTTTGTTTTAATCCTCCCCATTTTAGAGAGAATTACAGATCATAATAAGCAGGCTGATAAGAAGACAATTGTCACAAAAAAATAAGTCTAGACCTGGCTGGTAGCTCAGTGGTTAGAGCATTGGCCCATGGACCAGAGGAGGGTCCCAGTTTCAATTCCCAGTCAAGGGCATGTACCTGGGTTGCAGGATTGATCCCCAGCCCCAGTCGGGATGTATGTGGGAGGCAACCAATCAATGTCTCTCTCACATTGATCTCTCTCCACTCTCTCCTCCAGCCCCCTCCCTTCCACTGTCTCTTAAATAAATCAATGGAAAAAATATCCTCTAGTGAAGATTAACAAAAAATAACTAAGTCTGACTTTTTAAAACTTTATAATACATATGAAATGAGAATTGATATTCAGTATAATGATAGAGTCTCAGCAAGATGCTCAATATTTTGTTAAGATGTATAGCTAGGCAAACTAACAGACAAACATTGAAAACAAAGGATTTTCTTGCTGACATTTAGATAACTGGAAAATTCAGTTATCCAAAATGTCTGTTCCTCAGACTCTGAGATTAAAGTACAGAGGCTTGTTATCATTTAGAGCCCCTGCCATTCATGAATGAGACAAGATAAAAGCAAAGGTACGTTACTTTCATCATGCAGCCATTCAAAAATTATGGAATACTTACTCTATTTAAGGTGCTAGCAGGTATCTGGCCTATTCTTGAGTTACAGAAAGTCCCTGATGTTAAGATATAAAAATGGATATTTCCCTGGTTCTACTTGCCTTGTCAATGATGATTGAAAATGTAATTTCTCGAATATATTTCACCATGAATTCTGTCTACCCCAGCCATGTTCCGAACCCAAGGAATAAGAATCTCCTTCTGAGCAGTTTGAAACTTGATGTAGCCATCCAGTCTAATTGTCTTCCTTTGATTGTATAAAAATTGGATGAGTACTTTTAACATTTTAAGGTTAAGTCCAAATCAGATATGATTCTCCCTCATCTGAAAGTCGAAGCAAAGCTAAAAAGGAAGCAGAAACCAGATTTCTGGGTGTACAGAGGATCCTTTTAAAAACTCCTAAACATGAACCAGATAATTCTGGCCATTTGACTAATAATGGTGGGATGGGATGGTGGGGAAAGGGGAAGAGAATGAATGAAAAATGGAAAATATACTTTGAAAAGCAATAGTGATATTATATAGGATTTTATGCAGAACTAGAACTTTTATCCAAAGCAAATATTTACCAACGGTGCTATGGGACCTTTCCTGGAGATCTTTTAAGTAGACTCTTAAAACCGCCAAATGTTCTTGTAAATGCTGATCAATCTACATTTTCAGAATATCTTAGAATTTACATATATATACTAGAGGCCCAGCGCACGAAATTCACCCATGGGTAGGGTCTCTAGGCCTGGCCTGCGATCAAAGCCAATCTTCCCCAGCTGCCCGCAGCCGGCCCCGCCCCCTGTCGCTGCTGTTGGTTGCCCTCTGTGTGTGGGCTACTGGCAGGGTGATTGGGGCCCCGCTTGCACCCGCTTTGGCCTGGCACCGCCCACATCTGCTGCCATCCACCCCTGGTTCCCTGTTCCCCATCTGGAGCCTGCAGGCTAGGGGCAGCTCCTGCATTGAGTGTCTGCCTTCTGGTGGTCAGTGCGCATCATAGTGACCAGTCGTTCCGCCATATGATTGGTTTGCATATTACGCTTTTATACACACACACACACACACACACACACACACACACACACACACTATCAGTCCGGTGCATGAATTCATGCATGGGTGGGGTCCCTCGGCCTGGCCAGTGATCGAGGCCTATCAGGGGGCCGGATGGCTCAGGGGAGGGGCTGGGGGAGGTTGGCCACTGGTGGTGGGGCGGGGTGGAGTGGCTACGGAAGGTTGGCTGCGGGAGTGCACTGACTACCAGGGTGCAGCTCCTGCATTGAGTGTCTGCCCCTTGGTGGCCAGTGCACGTCATAGTGACTGGTTGACCGATCGTTCCAGTTGTTTGGTCGTAACGGTCGCTTAGGTTTTTATATATATACTAGAGGCCCAGTGCACAAAAATTTGTGCACTGGCAGGGAAGGGGAGGAGAGAGGGGTGTCCCTCAGCCCCACTTGTGCCCTCTCACAGTCTGGGACCCCTCGGGAGATAACCACCTGCTGGCTTAGGCCCGCTCCCCAGGTGGCAGATGACAGGCCTGATCCTTTGGTGCCTGCCCCGCCTCCCTGGGTTGCGCACTTGGCAGGGCCGATCCAGGGGTTGGGGCACTGCCCCGGGTCGGGTCGCACACAGACGCCCGCCACCCCGGGTCACAAATAGCAGGCCCAGATGGTGGCAGGGCAGGCGGGATGGAGCTGTCCTGCCCTGCCTGCAGTATGCAAATTAGCCGCCATCTTTGTTGGCGGTTAATTTGCATATTGTGCTGATTAGCCAATGGGAGGCATAGCGAAGGTACAGTCAATTACCATGTTTGTCTATTATTAGATAGGAATTTTGGGACAACCCAAATTCCCTAATGTTAAATTTGGGGACACAAGTAAAATAAACATGTTAATCTGAAACTCTGTATCATAGATACAGATAGTGATTATAGCCTTGTGACTTTGCTAATAATATTTATTATGATAATCTATGGCATCTCTCCAGGAAGATTTCTCAGATTCATCTGTGCAGATTAAAGTTCATTCTGTTTATCAAAATGCTGGCAATGACTCTCTGACATTGAAAGGTGTGCTTTTGCCCTTCTGTTTTCATGAGAAAAGTCTGCCTTCATTTACTAATGAACGTCCCTTTGATTTTCTTCCTTCCACCTACTCATACTGCACTTGTTCATTAGATAGGAAAACCCTGTACTATGTAGAACAAAATAAAGACATTTAAATGTGTGGTTGGACAGACTTATTTTTAATCTGAGTCGTTTGGTGTAACACTTTGTGTGAGGTAATAATTAAAGTTCTGATAAAACTTACCAAAATGGAGCTTTTAGTTGACTATTTAATAACTTAAAGATTTTAGGGTGTTAGTAGAATAAAAATAGATTTCACTATCTTGAGTCCCACTCTCTGGCTTAATATAGTATATTTGTTTTCCTGAGAAAACTTTCATTTCACTAGAAATTTATTTCAGGGGAACAAAACACAGACACGTGTGTATGTGTATTACATATGTGCTTGCTGGGAGACTAGGGAAGTAGAAGGTTAGCATTGAGAAGAGGAGAGTAAAATTTAAGAAATGGTGCAAAGGAAAATCTCTGCATCCATTTGAGTGTCCGGTGTGTATGCCCTTCTTAAATTAGTGCAGGGAAAGAAATGTTCTGGTCATCTTTAAAAACGCTTAATATATGGTTTGTTCTAATGCGTGGACACTAATTTTGGTAAAAGGAAGTTTACAGAGAAAGAAAAAATATTTCCCATTATCACACCAAAAAAATAACCCCCCGTGTACGTAACATTTAAAATCTTATCCTTTTTGGTTTAGAGTAAAGCACCTGACAAAAATAGTTTGTGAGCCAAGAAGGGTCTATTTTTTTTTTTTAAATATTTATATTTATTGATTTCAGAGAGGAAGGGAGAGGAAGAGAGAGATAGAAACATTGATGAGAGAATATCATTGATTGGCTGCCTCCTGCAAGCCCTACACTGGGGATCGAGCTGGCAACCCAAGCTTGTGCCCTGACTGGGAATTGAACCATGACCTCCTGGTTCACAGGTCAACACTCAAAGGTCTATTTTTCACAAGCTTTCAGATCGCCAACATATAGGGAGTGCTGACTGTGCAAGGACGCTTTCATTGGAATTGAGTTCTATTTCACGTTGGAAATGGGAATATACAAGCAGGCACGTTGACAAGCCCTAGCCACATACATGCTGGTGGTGAAGTACCAAAAGCTACAACATTTTTTAAAAAAAGAAGAAGAAAAGGAAGAAGCAAATGGAGCCCCACATGATGCTTGGATCCCAGTTAAATGCCCATCTGTGAGCTCGGCACCCGAGATAGTGAGGCAGAAGCACTGGTTAGAGGGTGCAGCTGCCGTGGTTTGGGAGATGGGAAAGAGGTACTGAAGCGGCTTTGCTCATGCAAGACTCACTCCTGAGGGCTTGATTTTTTTCTGGCACTAGTTTGGCCACTAAGCTCAAGTTTACCCATTAGGATCTTAAATTAAAACCGCCAGCAATGTGTCTCATCCCTTTTCCTGCTTTAGCAGGCAAGGCAAAAACCATTCCCCGAACATGCTCCTGTGGCCATGCCAGGGTCATGTGTGATTTCAGGTGCGCTCCTTTCTCTCCCGGGGAAAGCATGTTAGAATGTAGAAGGGCACGACTAAATGCTGGAGATGCCCCACTGCATGCAGGAAACCCACCACCCACGAACTCAGGTACCCAATGCAACCTGATTTTTGCCATGTTCACCCTGTAGATTGATCAAACCCCGTTCTTCTGACTTGATCAAGTCCAATGTCATTCTCAGGTTCCCCGCATCCCTAGGTAGCACATCCTCTCCTCCGAACTCTGCCCTTGAAGCACTGCCTCTGCTGGGTGAGATCAGTTTGGTGACCACCTCACCAGCCGGTGTGGGCTGTCCTATGTGCACGCTAGCCAGATGTGAAGCTTTGCCCCATCCTCATTTTGGCAAATATTCACTCCTAGAAAACAGATTTTAGCAAAGGTGTGAGAAGACAAGAGACTGACCCTGCAGCAGCATAGACATTTTGCATTTGCATTATTAGGATCTTTCAAATGCTTTGGTCATTTCTGGATCCCGGGATTCAGGTCCTTTTTCTCTTCTCCTTTTCCCTTCCTGCCCCCCACTACCCCCTCTTCTCTTCCCCTCCCTTCCTTCACTCTACCCTCCGCCACTCTCCTCCCCACTCCCCTCCCTTACCTTCTCAGCTTTGTTTCTCAGGAGCAAAACTCCAGTTCCTAAGGGAGTCCAGGGTAATGTTTCCTCTTTCTACTGTCGCTGAAGGAAATCCGCCCCCTCCCCCCACCCCCGCCCTGCCCCTCAAAATTATTTTCTAGGTGCAGTTGCGGAGAAAGGTAACCAGGAGCAGAAAAGACAGTGGAAGACTTCAGGACTGACATAAGCCTTCAGACACGTCTGCATTTACTTAGACCCCTCAGAGGAAGCCTGAGAGGCAGGATAGAGGGGTGTTAGGCACAGCCTCGAGTTTGAGATTTCCTGGTTGGATCCAGCCCCAAGCCTGCTGCAGGTCGCAGGAGGCAGGCACTTTATCCTCTGAGTGCCCATTTCTTTGCCTGTGAAATGACAGAAATACATCCAATCTTCAACTCTGAAATTCAACCTCTGAACACAGGTGTGTTTTTTAAATCTAGGTTTGGCAAAAACACTTTGGGCAATCAAACCTGACCTGACCTGAAGAGAAGTCATCTTCCTACTCCTGTGTCTGTCTACACATCTTACTGTAGGAATGTTGAAAGGGACTCATACTATATGGCACGAGCTCTTTGAGGGCTTTGTGAAATCTGAAAAATGCTGAATTGCAGAAATATGAGGGGCCTTGTGGGTTTGGGATCAGGTTATCTACTTCAGAGGGTATTTGGGATCCTAAATGGGATAATTATGGGGGGCTAACAGGACCCGGGACAGGAATGATCACTCAGTAGATGTTGGCTGCCTTTACCATCTTACTGTGTTGTGGAATGAGTGCTTACATGTACAGTAGTCCCCCCTCTTAATCTGCAATTTTGTTTTCTGCAGCTTCAGTTATCCACGGTCAACTGGGATCTGAAAATATTAAATGGAAAAGTACAAAAATAAAAATAAATGCATAGGTTTTAAGTTATTTGCTGTTCTGAGGAGCAATGAAATCTCAGGTATCCTGCTCAGTCCCATCAATGACTTGAATCATCCCTTTGTCCTACATCCCCACGCTGTATAAGTCCCCGCCCTTAGTCACTTCTGGTGGCCACAACACAGTGCTGCATTCAAGTAACCCTTATTTTAATTACTAATGGCCCCAAAGTGCAATAGTGATGCTGGCAATTCAAATAAACCTCAGCGAAGCTGTAAACTGCTTCTTTTAAGTGAAAAGATGAGTAGAGTACAAGAAGGTATTTTGAAAGAGCGAGGCCACATTTACATAACTTTTACTACAGTACGTTGTTATGATTGCTCTATTAGTTATTGTTAAACTCTTACTGAGCCGAATGTACCAATTAAACTTCATCATAGGTATGTATGTACCGGAGAAAACAGTACACACAGGGTTGGTACTGACCGCGACTTGAGGCTTCCCTGGCAGTGGGTAAGGGAGGATTACTGTACGCCTGCTCCAAGAGTAGCTACAAAGCTTGATGTTAGGAAGTACCTAGGGCTGTGCACTTTACAATCATTTTGTTTTGCATGTTTTTTATATCTATTTTGAGTGTTGGCTTGTTTCCTATTTTTTTTTTTAGATACCTTCTAGATGTCCTCTAACTCCATTTTTTATCTGAAGAAAAATTGTATTTTCTTTCTTCTTCCCCTACTTTCTTCCCTTTTTTCTTCCTCTCCATCCCCAAGCACTTACACGTTCTTGTCCCCGGATCACAGGGAACCAAAGAGCTGATTACTGGCAAACGGTCGCACCTTTCTCTGAGTGTGGTGATTAATGGCCAAAAGATGCTAAACGTGAAACAGTAATTTGGTAAAGCTCTCGGGAGCCTAGTGCTAAGAACTTCTCAAAGGGGACAACTTAGTGGGAAAAAATGGAAAATAAGCACACACAGTGTAAGACTTAGGCTGCATACATAAGGTGATGTGGGGGCGGAGTGGCATTTTGTTCGGTGTTTTCTCCACTGTAAGGCCTTATTACCTGAGGTAAGTAAAATTGTTTTCCTGCACATACACTTAGGAGGTTGACTCTCCAAAAGAATACATGGGTCTAGGCTAGAAGAATTTGAGTGACTGAAATGAAGAATTAAAAACCAATGTTGCATGATGATAAGATCATCAAAATATTCTTCTGTTGTAAGAAATCTTGATGTTCAGTAAAAAACAAAAGCAAACGCAAAACAGCTGGTAGAAAGTTGTGGGTTCATTTTGCCTAACTGTGCCGGTTTCCCAAACTGACTGACTGAGGCGATTCTCTGAGTACGTACTACATGAACTATTTTAAGTTGTAAGAAGTAGTTTTTGTTTTTATTTTGTTGTGTTTTGTCTTGCTGTTAAGATTTTGGCTTCTCAGAACCTCATCGAAGAGTTGAAATTTTGTTGTCTTGATTTAAAAAGACCATGATAGTGAACTAAATAAATCACTCTAAGTGAAAAGGAGATGCCAACAGGACACGGAGAACCCAAAAGTTTTCATAACATTTTATGTTTACTTTGTAAACTCAGCTAAGAGTCATTTCTTGCTGACAGTTATTTTAGAAGCCAAAGAAATAAATTTGTCTTGAGCACAATTGTTATGAATTTTATTTTTACAGGATCCATATTTTTCCTCTTTAGTTGTCATGGCTTTCTGGGTTCTGTGTAGTGCACCCCCCTTCCCCAATCATATTGTCTCCAAACAGAAATAAAGAGTTTGTAGAAAATTAAAACACCGTTGGAGTTAGGAAAAAAAGAAGGAAATCACAAAATCTCTCATTTTTTTCTTGCCCTTAGAGAAGGGCGCGCACAGCCCATGGAATCCACTTGAGAGTAAATCAGTAATTGCCATCACAAGCTTTGCATTCATTCGGTCTCCAGGTAAGGCACCACGGCAGGCATCCTCTGATCTTCCCCTCAAACAAAATAAAATTTAACCTGTTTTTGTTTCTTAAATCTCTTTCTGCATTTCTGAATCATTTGCTTATTAAAATGTTTTTATTAAGTGATTGTTTTTATTTTTATCTTAATTCAAAGGTAAATCTAGCTCCAGGTACCCTCTCTCTTCTGCCCTAAAAACACCTGCATGATAACTTTCCAAAGAATAAGGAGAAAATGGCTCATTCTTTGGTGGTGTGTTCATTAGAAAAAGAAGTTAGGATCTGGAAAGATACTATATATATATATATATATATGGAAGGATCTGGAAGCTCTCTTGGATTGTTTAAACTTTGTCTTAAGCTGCTGTTGAGTCCATTTTAGCCAATCCAGGTACATTTTGCCTAAATCCCTGTTCCTTTTCTTTCTTTTAAACTATGTATTCATTATCTTATTCTTTGAGTATCAACTGATGCTCAGCTCTAATGAGAATTCAAAGGTCATGAAGACAGAGTCTTAACCACTAGGAGTCTATAATTTAATGCACAAAAGAGCTTTGCAAAAATGTATCAATAAGACGATATTTTGTGTCATGATAAAGGTGCAGAGTGAAATGCTTAATTTAGGGAAGGCTTCATAACAACAGTGCCATTTAAGTGAACTGTGATGGGTTGAGGGATGCCAATAGTGAAAAAGGAATAATGTCAAGATTGTAGAGCTGACCATCAGTGAATAAAGTATTCCAGTGTACCTAAACCTCAGGGTATGTCTATAAAATAAGACCTTGTAATAAAAAAATAAAAATAAATCAAATAAAAATCACAGCCTAGCGAGGGAAATATAAATAAAAGAGTGGATAAGTACATTTTGCATTTTGAGTTATGCACAAAAGTCACTGGAACATGGAAGAAACCTTAGCTGTGGTGGTGGTTGGGGTTTGATTATAAAACTTCATTGGGGTCTGACTCTTGAAATAGTATTTTGCCCATGGAAATATGAGTTCCCCTTATCCTTCTGACTTGTCATACACACACACACACAACTTCTCTGGGACTTTCTAAAGAAATTTTATGTCATGATTCTCCGTTCTCTAAATTGAAGTGTAACGATTCCAACTTCTCTTTTTCTTTATCACCAATTTCTCTTAGTTTTTCCTCTTATTATTCTTACTGGTATGTATCACTTTTCTTTCCTCAGTAAAGCTACATTCACTTCTTTCTCAACTTGGGCCTTGTAGGAAGCACCAGTGCGGTTTTACATTTCGGAGAACACCCCCAGGCCATCTTCCCCAGCATCCCACCAGTTTCATTAAATACAACCCTCTTGTTATAAAAGCATGGCCAGACCCTTGCTTTCTGTACTATAGTAGAGTAACACAGGGCCCTAGGAGATGGTGTTTCAAATTGAAGTCAGATTGCTCAATTCTGACACTTCCTAAATATTTAATCTCAAATTACTCAATCCTTCTGTGCCTTAATTTCCTCCCTTATAACATGGAAATATAGTACTTACCTCACATGATCATTATGAGAATTAAGTGAGATAATCCATGCAGAGAATTTAGTGCTGTGGTTAGGATGTAGTCACATTTTAATAAATATTAGCTATTATTGTAAAATTTTTAGCCAGCCATTTAGTACTTTCTTGCTTTCTATGCCTCATGATTACAGCCTGTGATGGTTACTTTTATGTGTCAAAAATTAACAAATTTAAACTGGACCATGGGATGCCCAGATATCTGGTTAAACATTATTTCTGGGTATGACCATGAGGGTGATTCTGGAGGAGATTAGCATTTGAATAAATGAACTGAATAACACAGAGGGCCTTTTCCAATGTGGGTGGGCACCATCCAATCCATTGAGGGCCTAACCTAGAACAAAAAGGCTGAGGAAATTTGTATTCTTGTTCTGCTGTTAGAGCTGAGACATCAATCTCTCCTGCTCTCGGCACTCCTGGTTCTCAGGTCTTCAGTCTTGGACTGGAATTTATACCAGGGCCTCCCTGGCTCTCAGGTCTTCCAGCTACACTATGGCTTTCTTGGATCTCCAGCTTGCAGAGACATGATCATGGGACTTCTCACCCTCCATAATGGCATGAGCCAATTCATCATAGTAAATTTCTTTGTAATATATCCTATTGGTTCTGCTTCTCTGGAGAACTTTGGTGAATGCACAACCTTTCTAATCAAAGTGTGCTTTGTAGTCAGCAGCATCAGCATCATCTGAAAGCTGATTAAGAATGCAGATTCTCAGGCCATATAAGCGACTGCAATTTTAACAAGATCTCTGAGTGATTCAAATACACATTAGAGCATACAATTCCCTTATTCCTCATGAAGACACATGTTCATATCAATGGTTTATCAACTGGGGAACAGCCACCTACCTCCTTGTTCCATAGACTTTGAGGAAGATCTGCCAGTTAACTATGACAATTTCAGCAAAGACACAGAGTTAATATAGATCTAGCCCCATTTCTAATGGTGCAGTTATTGGGAAATATGTTCTAGGGTTTTTAACAGAAATTTTCAGAGAAATGAGAACTGGAGAAATGGAACCCTACACTGCAGAGAAATAGAGGAGCTGGAGGGGAAGAGACCTAACCAGGGGCAGTATTCTTTAACCTGTTTTTACAAAAAGTTAAGTAAGTCAAGGGAAACATGAGAGAGTGGTGTCTGAGAATCAAACACCTACTGAGAAAAGTTGACTAAACAGAGGTAAGAAAGAACTAACCACTAACAAAAGGCCTTTGAGCTAAGAGCTCACACTGACCTGGGTTCCTATGGAGTTAACTTCACCTTGAAAGGGTAAATGACAAATATATATATACTAGAGTCCTGGTGCACAAAAATTTGTGCACTCCGGGGGGAGGGGGGGTCCCTCAGCCCGGCCTGTGCCCTCTCACAGTCTGGGACCCCTTGGGAGATAACGACCTGCTGGCTTAGGCCTGCTCCCGGTGGCAGAGGGCAGGCCTAATCCCTAGGTGCAGCCCCTGGTCGGGCTCAGAGCAGGGCCGATTGGGGAATTGGGGCGCCGCCCCGTCATGCACAGAGCAGGGCGGATTGGGAGGTTGCGATGCCACCCTCAGTCACGCTCAGGGTAGGGCCGATTAGGGGGTTGGGGCACCGCCCCGTCACACTCAAGGCAGGGTCGATGGGGAGGTTGCGGCGCCACCCCCTGTCACTCACAGAGCAGGGCCAATCAGGGGGTTGGGGAGCTCCCCCCTGTCACGCACAGAGCAGGGCCCATCAGGGGGTTGGGGGGCCGCCCTCTATCACCCACAGAGCAGGGCTGATCAGGAGGTTGGGGCGCCACCACTGTCACTCTCAGGGCAGGGCCGATGGGGAGATTATGGCTCTACCTCGTCACACACAGAGCAGGGCCCGTGGGGTGGGGGGGTTGGGGAGCCGCACCCTGTCACACACAGAGCCGCAGGGCGATCAGGGGATTTGGGCCCTGCCCCCTGTCATGCTGATCCTGGTGCCGGGAGACCTCGCGGCTCCGCTGATCCCGGTGTTGGGAGGCATATTACCCTTTTACTATATAGAATAGAGGCCTGGTGCATGGGTGGGGGCTGGCTGGTTTGCCCTGAAGGGTGTCCCGGATCAGGGTGGGGGTCCCCACTGGGGTGCCTGGCCAGCCTGGATGAGGGGATGATGGCTGTTTGCAGCTGGTCACACACCCTTCATGGTGGGGGTCCCCACTGGGGTGCCTGGCCAGTCTGGGTGAGGGGCTGAGGGCTGTTTTCAGGCTGAGACTGAAGCTCCCAACTGCTCCTTTTTTTCTTTTTTTATTCTGAGCCAGCTTTAGCTCTGAGGCTCCAGCTCTTAGGCCTCCGCTCCTGAAAGCAGGTATCTGGTTTGTTTAGGTTCTACAATCGAAACTCTGTATCAACTCCAGGTCTGAGATCCTGGCTAGCTGAAAGCTGGTTTCTGGGGTTTTGTTTAGCTTCTATTTTTGTAACTATGTTTCAAACTGCCAGCTCAGAGGCCTGCAGCGGCAGGCGGGGAACGTTGGAGTCCTCCGTCACTGAAGCAAGCAAGCCTCATGTTAGTTTCAAGCTGCCTGGCTGCCGGCCGCCATCTTGGCTGGCAGTTAATTTGCATATCTCGCTGATTAGCCAATAGGAAGGGTAGCAGTCGTACGCCAATTACCATGTTTCTCTTTTATTAGATAGGCTATATATATATATATATATATATATATATTTAATTGATTTCAGAGAGGGAGAGAGATAGAAACATCATTGATGAGAGAGAATCATTGATTGGCTGCCTCCTGCATATGCCCTGACCGGGAATCGAACTGTGACTTCCTGGCTCATAGGTCAATGCTCTACCCCTGAGCCACACCGGCTTGGTGGCAAATGACAAAAATTTAAGAGGTATTTTTCTTAATGAGATTGGATGGGGTGAGGATCAAGATATTTTTTGAGTGTCTATGGACAACATAACCATACCTTTAGCTACTCATCACCTATGTCTACTTTCTCTATGTTCTTTCCTCCTCAGTTTCTTAAATGTCCAGATTGCCAGCCTGAGTCCTAAGCAATAATTCAAAGGGACATGATGGTAATCCATGAATGCTATTGTACAAATATCTGAACCAGATGAAATTGGGCCTAGTAAAAGTTGAATAAGAGGCAGGAAAAACGAGCTTCCTTAGAAACCATTAAAAAATAATGGAAAAGGAATGTGACATGTAAAAGAAAAGTGGCACATAAAACACTTTAGAATAATAATTACTTCAGGAAATAAAAATAAAAGGCTAAATTTCCTCTGTCCTCTCAAAGGAATTACCATCTTTGTGAATGAAAAGAAGAGCAGCTTAAGAAAGAAATTAAAAGGGAAAATATGATCAGTTTTGAAATGAAAACTGCTTGAGAAGCTGAGAGGAAACAGAATCAACATTGAAAATAAAAAAACCCACACAGAGATATGAAGAGTAGGCATGAGAAGAAACCACCCAGAAGGAAGTGGAAAAATACAAGGCAATGAAAGA